TATTACTTTGCAGCACCAGTTTTCCACTGATGAAAACGACAAAGACATAATATAAAAACAGGTAGTGAGTCATAGTGAAATAGAATATATTAAAATCAATAAATTTTACCAATGGAAAATACAAATGTGACAAAGTTTGTAACACGTTCATTGCCGAGACATAGAAGCAATTCAAATATGTTAAGAAAAATTAATAAAAATAGATACTTTATGAGATGACTATTCCTGGTGTCCTATGATGCCGTGAGAAGAGGGTCAATTCTCCGAGTCCAGGCAATGCGATAGGAAAAGCACGGGAAGCCGCAAGTCACAGATGTGCACACTCGAAAAGCTCGCCCAGTCCTACCGGTGCCAGAGCACGCCGCCAGGAGGAGCGTGGAGGCTGGCCTGGGTCCTTGGGAAAGTTCTGGGCAGCAGCTCTCCAGTGGATGCAGCACCAGCACCAGCACTGAGAACCAGCAGCGAGGTCACGTGCGCCCTAATGGGCTCAGCCTGGACCTTGGAGAGAACAGTCGCACGCCACGCGCATGCGCAGTGGCCACCAAGGGGCGGAGCCCAGGCCACCTCCCCATGGTGGATGCTTAGAGGTGCGCCGACTCTGCACAAGAGCAACTGGCAGCGGAGACGCAGGGACTGGCGCTTCTCGCACCCACGTGGGCTCAAACCAGGGTCCCCTCTCATCCCGCGAGGCATCTGCAAGACTTGGCGGGGACAGAATCCCTTAGAGATCCAGGAGCTTGTAAGGATCCTCCTCATTCTCAGCCCAAGGCTGGCAGGAGGAAAAGTGCCCCTCCCAGGAGCCTTTGGGTGAGCGCAGCTCTGTGACTCTCGGGGTCACAACAAGGTTGGTAGAGCAACTTAAGTCATAGGGGCCCTGAGGCCAGACTCTGGCCTGGGCTGGAGCTGGAGCAAGTGCAGCGGGGACCGCGCCCTGGACGCCCTGCGCAGGGCTCCAGCAGGCCTGGCTGGAGCTGAAGGCGCAGTGCTCTGCTTCAGGGAAGACTTCGAAGGGGCTGTGCGGAGAGAGGCTGCAGAAAGCTGGACCCCTGTGGTGCAGGGGGGCGGCGGGGAGCACAGGGCCGGCTGGGAACACTGGCTCCTCAGGGAACACAGGTGTGGCAGGCAGCACAGGGCTGGCAGGGAGCACAGGGTCCCCCTGGAATGCAGGGCCTGCAGGCGCAGGCTGAGGGGCGCGGACTCCCGGTTCTTGGGGCGCATCGTGGGCTCCCTGTCCTTGCTGCCCGCGCAGTCGCTGCAGCCTGCAGTCTTTGGCCCTGCGGTTCTTGAGCCACACCTGCACTTGGTGATCCTGCACGTTCACCTGCTTCGCCAGGGTCTCGCGTTCCTCGTAGGTCCCGTAGCGTTTCTTCTTGTAGAATTCCTCCAGCTGCAGCCGCTGTTCTATGCTGTACACCGTGCGCTTCTGCCGCTTCTTCCTCCGATGGGCTGGGGAACGTGGAGAGCCCGGGGGCGACTCAGGTTCCTGCATCCTGGATGCTGCTGGGTCCTCTGCCCTTGAAGCTCTCCGTACCATATGCAATCTTGCCTAGTAATACATTCCATCATTTCTGCTTAGAAACACAGCCAGAGCTAGAAAATTAACCCAAGGTCAATTTTGTCCCTACAGCAGGAATTTTGTTAATCTTTTATCCACAGGATTTAAGAAAGATGTCACATCTAGCTGGTTTCATGAAAGAGGAAATATTTGAACTGGGCCTTGAAGAATGGCTAAAATTTGCAAAGAGGAATAATAAGGGGGTAGTAAAGAACTGGGGATGTTTGAGGAACAGCAAGTTAAGTCCCATGGCTGGAATAAAGTATTTAGGAGAGTGATGGCATAAAAGCCAGGACAGCTAATATTGGAGTGCCTTGAATGTGAAGCTATAGGGAGTTTCATAGGCTGTGGATAGTGTAAAGATTTTTAAGGCATTGTCAAATCTTTGCATTTAAGAGGATTAAACTCACTGCTCTGTGTAGACTAGATTGGAAAAAGAATATAATGTCCCAGAAGTCAAGAGATTTTTCCAGTGAGACAGGTAAGATGAGGGATTATAAAAAGGCTTTAGATTTGAAATTTAGGGAGTCTTCAGTAGTATAATATAAAGACAAAAACCAAAGAGTAGGGGAAATGGAGTGAGTAAGTAAGTATAGGCAAGGAAGGCAAAGTTCACTGGAAACTAAAAAGAGATTGGTAATATGGATGGAGTTAAGTTGGAAGGACATTTTTTAAAAATACAATTTGTTGCCCTAACTGGTTTGGCTCAGTGGATAGAGCGTCGGCCTGTGGACTGAAGTGTCCCAGGTTCGATTCTGGTCAAGGGCATGTACTTGGTTGCGGGCACATCCCCAGTAGGGGGTGTGCAGGAGGCAGCTGGTCGATGTTTCCCTCTCGATGTTTCTAACTCTCTATCCCTCTCCCTTCCTCTCTGTAAAAAATCAATAAAAAAAATTTTTTTTTAAAAATACAATTTGTTCATATATAAAAACTAGATGCCTGGTGCATGAAATTTGTGCAAGAAGAGGGGGTGTCCCTCAACCTGGCCTGCACCCTCTTGCAATCTGGGACCTCTCGGAGGATGTCCAACTGCCAGTTCGGACCTGCAGGATTGGGCCTAAACCGGCAGTCAGACATCCCTCTCACAATCTGGTACTGCTGGCTCCTAACCTCTTGCCTGTCTGCCTGATTGCACCTAACCACCTCTGCCTTGGCCCCCACTGCCGTGGCTTCATCCAGAATGACACCCGGAAGGTTGTTCAGCTATCGGTCTAATTGGCATATTATGCTTTTATTATTATAGAGATCACATTCTTTCCACCACAGTAATAGATCCCAAATGTTGGTCTACCAACTGATACTCCACAATCACTTTGGAAGCTTTTTAAAATCAGATTCCCAGACCCTTCCTCTGGATTAGGGGTCAGCAAACATTTTGTGTAATGGGTAAGTAGTAAATATTTTAGACTACATGCCATATGTAGTCTCTGTCACACATTCTTTGCATTATAACCCTTCAAAGACGTAAAAACCATTCTTAGCCTGTCATCCATACAAAAACAGACTAGGCTGGATTTGGACAGTGGGCTGTAGTTTGCCAACCCCTGCTCTTGAGAATCTGGTTCAGTCCATGTGGATTAGGACCTGGGACTAGGAATTCTTAAAAAGCTCCCAAGGACTTCCACTTCTATCCATACAGAGTTAGGACCAGACTTAAGTGGCAAGCGACAAACTAAGTGAAGGGACTTTTTCAGACATTGAGGAGGTAGCAAAGATACAGAGCGCCTGAGAGACTAAAATCAGGAGGACATTTGGGAAATGGAGAAGTTGGGAAAAGCTAGATGATGGTCTAAAGCAGTGGTCGCCAATCTTTCGGACTTCATGGACCACCGTTTGGAGACCTCTGGTCTAAAGGGAATTTCAGCAAGAGAAACCTGAGAAGGGGGATTTCTTAGTGATTCACTTTGTCTCCTCCATTACACTGACTTGTAAGCCTGATCTAAGAAACATATTTTACCTTCAAAGGCAATAGTAATCCCTTCAGCTACATTTGGAGATCCTGTGTCAACTTATCTAGCACACTCCTTTCTAGTTGGTAATTATGTGTTTCAACTGGATGTTCAATTTGAGACATATTGGGAAGAGCTTGGTTTAAAAGCCTCTTCTGTGCCAAAAGTAATTTTCTTTATGCTTTTCAAGAGAGTAGGGAGAAGGCTAATGAGGACAGATTACATCACTTACCTGAGACAGGCCCTGAATCCTTGTCAAGAGATGTTTGAATTTAAGGTTTGAAGACTGTAATTTAAGAGAAATGGGATAGATCATGGTTTCTTCCTTGGAAGTCTGAGGGCCGGCGGGGGGGGGGGGGGGTTGCCATGGTAATGCTAACTCCTACCTTCACCTACAGAGTAGGGGAGTACCTGCTATGTTCCAGGACCCCCCCAAACGTGACCAACTACATTGCCCCTCTAGTCTTAGGGGAAAAGAGTATGGTTGAGTCTTTTAGTACCTGCTCCAGGGTAAACAGTTTGAGGAGCACCCAATAATGCTGGGCCTCTTCTCTCCAATGGCCCTGGCCCTTCCAGAGATACCTTTGTCCTTTACACTCTGAGCCCAGATGCCTGTTAGAGGCATGGTTACCCTACTTCCTTCCACGTATGAAGCAATTCCAGGAAGGATCATCATAATGCTCTCCCCAGTTATTAAGCAAATCCCAACAAGAGGTTACCGTTGTGAGAGAGGGGGACTGCTTCGCTCCCTTCAGGAGTGTTACGAAAGGATTTGAAGGCACAGGTACTAAAAGACTGTTGAGGACAAATGTTCATTAGCATGAAGTTGCTTTTTGTTAATCCTCACCGAGGATACACACACACGTTGATTTCTAAAGAGAGGGCGTGAGGGAGGTGGGGAGAGAGAAACATTGATTGGCTGCCTTCCACACAAGCCCTGACCAGGCTGGGAATCGAACCTGCAACCCTTTGTTGTGCAGCCTGACATTCCAACCACTGAGCAACACTGGCCAGGGCTAGCATGAAGTTTTGATGCAGCTATAAGGGGTTTAAGGTGGAAGCCTTGATACCCCCTTTGATGGCTTCTCCGAGCCAGCAGACTCTCAGTTATCTATTAAAATGGTCGGATTGAGAAATCACATCTTTCCTGCATGTAAAAGGCTAATGATCACACTTAAAACAACAGAGTATTTGAGGCCTGTGTGACCTGTTTGTGAAGTGACCATCTCTGTAATATTGACCTGGCTTATATACTGGGATTATAGTTTTTATAAAAGATTCAGCCGGGACCGGTTTGGCTCAGTGGATGGAGCGTCGGACTGGGGGGTCCCGGGTTCGATTCCGGTCAGGGGCATGTGCCTTGGTGGCGGGCACATCCCCAGTGGGAGATGTGCGGGAGGCGGCTGATTGATGTTTCTCTCCCATCGATGTTTCTAACTCTCTGTCTCTCTTCCTTCCTCTCTGTAAAAAATCAATAAAATATATTTAAAAAAAAGAAGAAAAGATTCAATATCACCACTTTAACACACCACCCAACAGTGAGTCAGTGTTGGTGCTCAACATGGAACATGCTGTCCTGAGCGCCCGTGGACAGTAGGATCACTGGGTCCCCCGCATGGACAGCCTCCTCACCCCACCTGGGCTCTGATGCCCTCCACCCAGCCACCCTCTGCATAGATATCTCCCCCTACTTGGTCCTCTGACTCCCCACTCCAGGCCACTCCTCATGGGGGCGCCCTTCCAGTCCTGCTCATCCACAGAGATGATTTCACATGGGAAACATTCATATGATTGGCTACCCTAGTAGCAGCTGTTCTGTTTACATCTCATTTTCAGTGATTAACTTAGTCCTCAGGACAAACATAGAGCTGTCAGTGAAAATTATTATAAAGTAAGTGAACTTGAGAGTTTTTGTGCACTCTTCTATACATATTATACTTCAATAAAATTTATTTCCCAGAAACATCTCATACTGACGTGTTAAAACATCACTACCAGAAGGAAGTCTAAAATATTTGTTACCACAAAGTTACCCCTGCACCTTGGTAGAGGCCTCGGACCCTCCAGCAGCCTGGCAACCAGCTGATCAGAGAAGGAACACTTTTCTGTTTTCTAACGGCTTGTCCTTGCCACACTGGGTAGTGACAAAAGGTTATTAAAAACACAAGGGTTGCCCTAACTAGTTTGGCTCAGTGGATAGAGCTTTGGCCTGTGGACTGAAGGGTCCCAGGTTCAATTCCGGTCAAGGGCATGTACCTTGGTTGCAGGCACATCCCCAGCAGGGGGTGTGCAGGAGGCAGCTGATTGATGTTTCTCTCTCATCGATGCTTCTCTCTCGTCGATGTTTCTAACTCTCTATCCCTCTCCCTTCCTCTCTGTAAAAAAAAAAATCAATAAAATATATTTTTTAAAAAACCAACATGAGGTATCCTTTTACCTTTTCTGATAGGCTACTTCAAGGAGTGTTTTAAACATATGCTACCAGAGCGATCCAAGTATGGGCGAATCTTGCCTTGATGCTTAGTCTTTTTCAAGGCTTTCATTTGACACATTGTTCCTGTTAGAGATCAAGAAGGGTAGAGAAGGTAGTACAGGTAAGATTCCACCAGTACAGTATTAAGGAATTATTGTGAAGTGTTGTAGGTTTGATAATGAATTTGTTATTTTTAAAGAGCCACGTAATGAAATATTTACAGATAAAGTGACATATCTGTGATTTGTTTCAAAGGAATCAAGTGGAAGTATTAGATGAAACAAGATTAGCCACATGTTGATAGTGGTTGTACCTGGGTGGTGGGTATTAATCTGTCCTTTTTGATATGCTTGAAGTTTTCATAATGGTAATGCAGGTATGACCTGTCCGGACTGCAGCACAGCTGTTATGCTGAAGCCAACATGATCGTTTGGGAGGCTGGCGATGAGCGCCTGTCCCTTACTCCTCTTAGTGCTTTGCCGTTATTTACAGCATCTCAGGTTCACCACTCCATTCCACCCGCATACTCTGCCCAGCTCCCGCCCCACCACCTAAGCTCAGAAGAGAGAATGAAGTATTCTCAAAGCAGTGTATATTTGAGTCACACAAATCTTTGCTCTGGACTATCTGGCTTCTCAGGCAGGAGGCACTTAAGGAAGCTGAGCTAGTTGCAGTGAGGCTGGGATTCTGCGAGCCTGGAGCAGCAGGGCAGTGTGGAGCCGCTGAGGCTGCATTTCTGACACATGCTAATGAGCGTCGCCCAGGGATGTAAACACAGCACTTCAAGCTAAATTCTGGTGGAATTGAAACCTCTGTTTAACCATCTCCCTAGACAGCTTCTGACTGGACACGGAATGCCGAAATAAAAGGGGCATTTCCCACTTCTAACAGCTTCATAACGCCAGTTTTTAAAAAGCTGCCATCTATACCCAGCCTCCATGTGGGCATCCCCAAAGGAGAAAAAGCAAATGTGTTTTCTGAATACCCAATTTCAAGCTTCTCAATTCATCTCCATAATCTCCCCTAGTCTGGCTGGGAAGTAAGCTGTCATGTAGGGACCCTCGAGAGCTGTGCTGGGAGTCAGGAGGATTCATTAGGCTGACACTGACAGCTGATCTAGTCAGACTAACTTCAGGCTGTTCCTAATCAAGGACCGCCAGTCCCTGAGGCGGTTGTGATCATTGCTTACTTGCAAAATTAGGTCTTTAGCGGGTAAAGAGGCTTTGGGTGTGCACAGTTAGTTATGTGGTCAGAGCCAAGGAGGCCAAGGACAGGGATGAGTTAACTCCTCTGTTCCCTGAGACCAGCCACTAAACTTGAAAGCACATTCCAGTCATTCAAAACAGAGCTCATTACCCCAAATGATGGACTCTTGCCCAATGACTCCATCCAAAGCAGCTCTTCCTGTCTCAAATAGGGCTTCCAGCCAGGCAGCCAGTAAGGTTGTATTGCCTCCCTCTTTTGGTCAGCAAGTCTTGCTTTTACTTTTGTCTTCCTGCCTTCATTCATTCATTTCCACAAATACCTACAGATCACTTTGTTATGTGCCAGGCACAATTTTAACCTCTGCGGCTGCAACGGTGAATAAGACAGTCCCACATGATCCCTGCCTTCAGTTCCTATATGCTCTCCTGTTGGGCCCTCATCACCATTCCCAGTGCCTAAGCTCAGGCCCTGACCAGTTAATTCTCACCTGAATTACTGCAATAGTTTCCTAATTGACTTGGCTGCCTCTGGATCCATTAGCTGGTTGTCATTCTCTTGTTAAAAATGACGGAAACCCACCTTGAATTAGCTAAGGCAAATTGACTCCTATAACCAAACTATAGGAATGCCCAGAGCACGGGTTAAACCAGGGACAAATGGAATCCCAAAGTGTGGGCAGTCAGGAAAGCCTACCATTTCTGGTCTCTGCTTCCCTTTAAGCCAGTGGTTCTCAACCTTGGCTGAACATTAGAATCACCTGGAATCTTTTTAAAATCCTGATTTCTGGGCCTCATCCTCCGGAAATTCTGTTTCTTTGTTATGGGGTGAGGCCACAACATTAGTAACAAAGAAACAGAATTTCCGGAGGATGAGGCCCAGAAATCAGGATTTTAAAAAGATTCCCAGGTGATTCTAATGTGCAGCCAAGGTTGAGAACCACTGCTTTAAGTGTTGGCTTCATTCTTCCCAGGGACCAGCTTCTTCCACTTAGTGAGAAACAAGCTTCCCCATTTTAGAGAGATGCCTTCCCTCTAGCAGAGCTCACAAATCCTGGAAGAAGTGCCCTTGTGTTTTCCCATCCCTTCAGAACACATGCTTCTCAGGGCCAGGGACCTTGTATGTATTGCCTACTGCTATATCCCCTGTGCCTAGAGCACTGCTTGGTATGTAGGAGGAGATGAATATTTATTGCATTGGTTCATTCAGTCAGTTAGCAGTTTTTTAATGTCTTCATGTGGCAGACCCAATGCCAGGTACCCAGATAAAATGGACACTGAGAATCCCAATGCAGGCAGCTTCATGGGCCTGCAATCCATGCAGTTGTACAGGGCCCTGTACTATCATCATTTTTTAAATTCTTAATAGTTTATGAATTAGGTGACCCATAATTTCATCTTGTACCAAACCCCACAAAGTACATAGCCAACCCTATCCTGACAATAACTCCAGAAACCTCCTTAGCACATTCAGATTTGAAAACAGTTTATGGACAAGTCAGTAGCCCTTGTTCATTACTGTTAATAATTTAACACACTGCCTTATATATATATTAAAGCTATGTAAAGAGTAAGTGGTTTACAGAGATAGTATAGTTTAGAAATATAATTCTGGGACAGGCCCTCCGCAGTCCCCAGATCTGTCTCTTCAGTGTTTGGACAGAACAGATGCTGGGACACTCCTTCTTCTAGCCTCCTTCCGCCCTCCAACCTCTTTCCAGTCACTGTGGTCAGAACCAGCTCAGCCATCCTTGGCCTCCAATATCAGCCAACACCATTTTTTGAGTTCAACTCCTTATTGCTGACCAACCATGAGCTCCCAAATTCATCAGAATTATTCCACTGACGTGGAGGCTGCCATCAACCGCCTGGTCAACCTGCACCTGCGGGCCTCCGACACCTACCTCTCTCTGGGCCAAGGGTCCTGAGCCTCTTCTTGAAGATGCAAAACCAGTGCGGCCACCACACCCTCTTCTAGGCCGTGCTGAAGCCTTCCCAAGGTGAGCAGGGTAAGACCCAGGACACCAGGGAAGCCTCCGTGGTCACGGGGAGGAACCTGACCAGGCCCTTTTAGAGCTGCAGGCCCTCCTCTCAGTGACTTCCTGGAGAACCACTTCCTGGGTGAGGAGGTGAAACTCATCAAGAAGATGGGTGACACCTGACTCACCTCCACAGGATGGCCGGCCCCAGGCTGGGCTGGGCCAGTATCCCTTGGAAAGGATGATTAGCAGCCTTTGGAGCCCAGAGGCCTTTGAGGGGCCCCTCTGCATCCCCCTGGTGTCTGCCTGAGCGCCTCCCCAAAACCACTAGGCAGCCTTTTAATCACCCTGGAGGGCTCTCCCATGCCTTGGACCAAATGGAAACAATATAGCTTTTTGTAGAAAAAAAAATAAAAAGAATGTAATTCCAGGAGCCACAGAGTTAGCTTCAGAATTAATCAAAGTAATACTGTACTTAAAACACTTAGGTCAGCCCTGACCGGTTTGGCTCAGTGGATAGAGCATCAGCCTGTGGATTCAAGGGTCCCAGGTTCGATTCCGGTCAAGGGCATGTACCTTGGTTGTGGGCACATCTCCGGTGGGGAGTGTGCAGGAGGCAGCTGATCGATGTTTCTCTCTCATTGATGTTTCTAACTCTCTATCCCTCTCCCTTCCTCTCTGTAAAAAATCAATAAAATATATTAAAGAAAACACACAAAAACCACTTAGGTCAGGTTCTGGGTGTGCCCAGCTACTTCCTTCGCTGCTCTCCCTTCTTTGGCTCCTTTCACTCTCCTGTAGACACTCCTGGGGTGGAAAATCTGCGTCAACGTTAGTGGCTGCTGAGAAGAATATTGAGAAAAACCAAGGAACTATAGCCTTCAGGGAAGCAATAATATTTTACTTAAAAATTGCTTGAGATGAAGACTTTGTAGATGATTGCAATTTGTATGCAAATAAACTATATCCTGAGCAGAGACATGGCCCTGGGCGAAAACTTCAGGAAGACCAGGGCTTGGACCTCAGAAAAGCCTTCATCAGTTTCTCTTTGCTGCCAGTTCAAACTAAAACCATAGACAATCCCAGTGCTGCAGTTTTCACTGCCTTAGCCTAAATTCAACGAATTCATTAGTATGTAAGCAGTTTTCTCACATGGTAGATGCATCCCCGCCTGTATTTTCTGCATCATCTCTGCTGTGATGTTTTTGTTTTCGCAATTGTTGTCTAATCAGGCACTGATTTGGCATTAACTTGCAAATGCTGGGTCTCCTGTGCCTGAGGAAAAAGAATAGTCACTGGTCAAACCTCACCTGATTCCTGGAAAACCCAAATCAGCAGCCAGGTTTGAAGAGAGGCTGAGAACAAACTGCCATGCATCCCTGCGTCCCAAGACCAGACTCTCAGAACTGAGGGAGAACAGCAGTTTTAATTTACACATCCACTCACTCCCCACTCATTACTGTGTACCTACCATGCCCTGGGCACTGTACTGGCTGATGTGGACCATGCAGCGAGCAACCTAAGGGAGTATAGAAAAGTGCAGTCCAATCCAGTCCAGCCTTGATTCGAGGTAAAGGG